CTCATTCCTTCCAAACATTTTCACAATTATTGGACTGGGAAAGACCAGCAGATTTCCCCTGGAGCAGATTTCCAGCCCTACCAGAAGAATATTCCCCAGGATGAGTTTTCCTACCAGGAGAGCATGGATCACATTCCCCGGGATGAGTTTTCCCCTGAGTAGCCCCAGGAGAACATGGTTCATGTTCCCAAGGAGCATGTGAACATGGTTCACACTCCCCTGGAGCAGATTTCCAGCCCTACCAGGAGAACATGGATCACATTCCCAAGGATGAGTTTTCCAGCTCTACCAGGAGAGCATGGATCACACGCCCCTGGAGCAGAGCACGAATCACATTCCCAAGGATGAGTTTTCCCACCAGGAGAACATGGATCACATTCCCCTGGAGCACTTTTCCAGCCCCTACCGCAGAGCATGGATCACATTCCCACGGATGAGTTTTCCAGCCCCACCAGGAGAACACGTATCACATTCACCATGATGAGTTTTCCAGCTCTACCAGGAGAGCATGGATCACACTCCCCAGGATGAGTTTTCCAGCTCTACCAGGAGAACATGGATCACATTCCCAAGGATGAGTTTTCCAGCCCTTACCAGGAGAGCATGGATCACATTCCCCAGGATGAATTTTCCTACCAGGAGAAGATGGATCACATTCCCAAGGATGAGTTTTCCAGCTCTACCAGGAGAGCATGGATCACATTCCCAAGGATGAGTTTTCCAGCTCTACCAGGAGAGCATGGATCACACTCCCAAGGATGAGCTTTCCTACCAGGAGAGCATGGATCACACTCCCCTGGAATAGATTTCCAGCTCTATCAGCAGAGCATGGATCACACTCCCAAGGATGAGCTTTCCCACCAGGAGAAGATGGATCACATTCCCAAGGATGAGTTTTCCAGCCCTACCAGGAGAGCCTGGATCACACTCCCCCGGAGCAGATTTCCAGCCCCACCAGGAGAACATGGACCACACTCCCAAGGAGCAGTTTCCCAGCCCTACCAGGAGACCATGGATCACATTCCCAAGGACGAATTTTCCTAGCAGGAAATCATGGAGCACATTCCCAAGGATGAGTTTTCCAGTTCTACCAGGAGAGCATGGATCACATTCCCAAGGATGAGTTTTCCAGCTCTACCAGGAGAACATGGATCACATTCCCCAGGATGAGTTTTCCCACCAGGAGAGCATGGATCACATTCCCCAGGATGAGTTTTCCCACCAGGAGAACATGGATCACATTCCCCAGGATGAGCTTTCCAGCTCTACCAGGAGAACATGGATCATACACCCAAGGATGAGTTTTCCAACCCTATCAGCAGAGCATGGATCACATTCCCAAGGATGAGTTTTCCAGCCAGGAGAACACGGATCAGATTTTTGCAATATTCAAACCCCAGGAAAATTGCGTACACCACTC